CAGATCACTTCTGTTTCTATCTTTAGTAGAGACATAGTCTTGTTCTTGCTCAGGCTGCTCTCGAACTCCTGACCTTGAGCGATCCTCCCGCCTCGGCCTCCCAGAGTGCTAGGATTACAGGCGTGAGCCACCGCGCCCGGCCTGTTATTTCCTTAATGATTAGTGACGTAGAGCATTTTTTCATATGCTTATTGGCCATTAGTCTATCTTCTTCTGAAAAGCTTCTGCTCATGTCTTTTGCCCACTTTTTGATGGGGTTGTTTGATTTTTTTCTTGCTGATTTGCTTGAGTATTTTTTTAAAATAGATTCTAGTTATTACCCCTTAATCGGATATAGAGCTTGCAAAATATTTTTTCCCTTTTTGTGGGTTGTCTATTTGCTCTGTGGATTATTTCTTTGGCTGTGCAGAAGCTTCTTAATTTAGTCATGGGTGTCTACCCAAAAGAAAACAAGTCATTTCATCAAAAAGACACCTGCACTCGAATGTTTATGGCAGCACAATTCACAATTGCAAAGACGTGCAATCAACCCAAGTGCCCATCAATCTGTGAATAGATTTAACAAAAATGCAGTGGACCGTGGAGTACTACTCAGCCATGAAGAAGGATGACATAATGCCTTTTGCAACTATATGGATGGAATTGAAGACCCTTGTCCTAAGTGAGGTATCTAAAGAATGGAAAAACAAGCACCCCATGTACTCACTATTAAATTGGAACTAACCAATGGGCACACATGTGCAAAGAAGTAAAACTCAATGGAAATCAACCATTGGGGGAGGGAGGGGGAGGGGAGGGGAAAAAACTACCACATGGGTACCATAAACACTATATGGGTGATGGGCACACTTATAACCATGACTCAAGCATTACAAAAGAGATCCCTGTAACCAAAAACATCTGTACCCCCCGTAATATTTTGAAATTAAAAAATAAAACAAAAGATACGTTTCAGAAATTCAAGACTAAAAATCTATTTGAAGCAACAGCTCTGTGGCTCATCTTGATGAATGGAAAATAACATTATGATTGTTCGTATGAAATAATGTTAGAGAGGAAAAATGGAATACAAACTGGTATTGCTAAGACAAAGCCATTAATTATAACTCTGCAGAACGCTTATACGTACATTAGCAAAGACAGAAGATTATTTTGAATGATAAAACAATGGCTTAATATTAATTTTTTTTTAGTAAATGTGTTTACACCTGGAAGGATATTAGAATGGGAGAGAGAGATACACGGAAAAATTTCAATATGACTTTAAGTGGAACTTGTTTTAAACCATCGCTCAAGGTCAGGAGTTCGAAACCAGCCTGAGCAAGAGCGAGACCCCGTCTCTACTAAAAATATAAAAAAAAAGAAAAAAGAAAGAAAGAAAAGAAACCTCTGACATCTACAGGGCCAATGTCCATAATTCCGTGGTCATTTCCTTTTTTTTTTGAAACAGAGTCTCGCTTTGTTGCCCAGGCTAGAGTGAGTGCCAGTGGCGTGGCTGCAGCGTCGTGCTCACAGCAACCTCGATCCCGGGCTCAGCCATCCCTGCCTCAGCCTCCCGAGTAGCTGGACTATAGGCATGTGCCCACCAGCCGCTAATTCTTTTTATATATATTTTTTAGTTGCGCCATTCATTCTTTCTATTTTTAGCAGAGACGGGGTCTCGCTCTTGCTCAGGCTGGCTCCACTCCTGACCGTGAGAGTGATCTCCCCTCCTCGGCTCACCGATGTGCTGGTGCCAGGCGTGGGCCACGCACCTGGTCACCAATTCCTTCTCTAAGTCTTGTGCGCCATCCGGTTACATTCCAGACCAGAGCGAGCTGTTAGAGAACCAAACAGCAGCCCCACTGAAAATGCAAAAAAAAAACAAACCACGCCTGGCAGGTGGTGCCGTGCAGCAGCTGGATTAGCACGTGGCCATGCAGAGAGGCCCTGTTCGCATGTCACCGCCGATCTCTAGAGCAACCCTATTCTCTCTGGCTTGCAAACATGTCTGATCCCTGGGGACTTGTCCCGCTGCACGAATCTCCCACATTTGTCCACTAAATCCGCGCTCCGCCTTTATCGCGAGCAGCGCTTAGCAACATTACTCAGAATTTATTAATTCTCTGGAGGACTTGGGCCCATAAAGCGTGATTGCACAGAGGAACCGGGGCCGGAATATTCTCAGCAGCGAGCAGGTCAGTCGTGCCGTATTGCACGCTGTTCCTCCTGTCGCTGCAGGCCACAGGCCGGGTCACACGGCGATCGGGGACGAGGCTGTGCCATGCCCCAAGGCATGCGTCATTGGCTGGTGGCTTTTAGGGTGCCAGCCTCGGGGTCACCACTTGTAAGAGCACAAGGGGGCGGGCGCGGTGGCTCACGCCTGTCATCCTAGCACTCGGGAGAGGCCGGCGGGAGGATCGCTCGAGGTCAGGAGTTCGAGGCCAGCCTGAGCAAGAGTGAGACCCCGTCTCTACTAAAAAAGAAAGAACGATTGGCCAACTAAGAAGAATATATAGAAAAATGAGCCAGGCATGACAGGCATGGTGGTGCATGCCTGTAGTCCAGCCTACTCGGGAGGAGGCTGAGGCAGGAGGATCGGCTTGAGCCCAGGAGTCTAAACCAACCTGAGCAAGAGTGAGACCCTGTCTTTACTAAAATAGAAAGAATTATTAGCCAACTAAAAAATATATATATAGAAAAAATGCCAGGCATAGGTGGCGCATGCCTGTAGTCCCAGTACTTGGGAGGGAGGCTAGAGGCACGGTCGTTGAGCCAGGAGTTTTTTGGGTTGCTGGTGAGTGAGGCTGACCAACGGCACGGGCGACAGAGTGAGCTCTGTCCTCAAAAAAAAAAAAAAGAAACAAGAAGAAGGCTAACACAGAGGAGAGGGCTGTGTCTTGCTAATTTGTGGATCCGGGCTTGGCGGACTGCTGGGCCGCAGCAGCCCCCCTGCGAGTTGTTTATTAGCCAACCTGAATATTAGGACGGCTCAGCGTTTGTCAAGTTATAATACGGGCTTTGGGCAATCACTTTGCGAGCTGTTTTTAAATACAGGAGTTTTGCAGGCGTAATTGTATTTCATCTGTGGCCACGCACAAAGCTGAACCCAGGCCCTTCCCAGTTCATTTTAAAGCTATTTATTCAAGCAACTCTTGACTCTGCAGCAAAAATCTCTCCACTGTCCATTCTATCCAAGTTTGTTTTTTTTTTTTCCCAGCCTATGCACCCATCCAGAAAAGTCTTTCCAAACTGCAATTATCCAGGCCAACACGCGGGAGTCAAATCACTCGGAATTGCGCTGAGTGTGTGTATTTCTTTTTCCCCCGTGATCTCTGGTTGCAGGTGTAAGAATCGCAAGGAGCATCCCTCCCTGGGACTTTCTGCTTCTGGAGGGAATTGGCTGATTCTGGTGTTTTTCTCCCTCATTGCTTGTCGGATGCTAAAAACCCAACCCACCCTTCGGGAGCTCAGCTAATAATGAATGCATGTTGAGAATAATGCTGTGATCTCTTATTTTAGAGAGTCCGAACCCAAAAAGCCTTTAATGCTACGTGAAACGGCCACCCTAGACTGGCGTATTGTACATGCAGACGCCGTGTCCCAGCCCGAAATCCATCCTTGCTGAACTCAGCTTCTTGCCGGGAACCTGTGACAAAGCGACTCCTCAGATCCATTAGCATTCCTGGGATGCCTGAGTCTCCTGTTCTATTCTGCCTTCATGGAAGCTACGCCTTGCTCATGATTTTTTTTTTTTGGGGACAGAGTCTCATTCTGTTGCCCGAGGTAGAGTGCCGTGGCGTCAGCCTCGCTCACAGCAACCTCAAACTCCTGGGCTCAAGCGATCCTCCTGCCTCAGCCTCCTCCCGAGTAGCAGGGACTACAGGCACTCACCACCATGCCCGGCCAATTTTTTCTATGTATTTTTAGTTGGCCTATTAAGTTCTTTCTATTTTTAGTAGAGACAGGGTCTCGCTCTTCCTCAGGCTGGTCTCGAACTCCTGACCTCGAAGGATCCTCCTGCCTCGGCCTCCCAGAGTGCTGGGATGACAGGCTCCACTCTGTCTCAGTCAATGTCGCCGGGCGTTGTCGAGCTCCAACAGAAACAGCGGTCAGCTCCCCTTCCTGAAAAAGCACGGACTCTCGCTTGGTATGTCTGCTTTCAGTGGCGATGCGCCAATCTCACCCATTGCGCCTATAGAGCGTCGCCATTCTCAGTCGGCCATCCCAGACGCTGCCTGTGGAATTAGGAGCCTGTAAGCCAACAAAGCAGTAGCATCGTTCCGGATACACCCTCACCATGATCGCAAATGGAAGACTAGATTGTGCCCGTGTGCCAACTGTATATATGCTTGCACGCCGGGAAGACCTTCCGAGAGACCGCTTGCCCCCCCCAAGTTGACCGGTAGCGGAGACAGCAGAGGGATACTGAGACAAGCGCCGCTGCGACTTGTTCCGGCCCCGGTCTCTGTGCTCCTTCCTGCCTTCTGGCCCCGGTCTCCAGACTCTTTAATTCACTTCGTTAGTATGTTGCTCCGCTGCCTCGCGCATCTTTGCCGCCTCGTGGCGATTCGTCAGCCCGGCCCGCCCGCAGCGGCTCCCCCGGGTTGCCGCGGGCGTGAGCTCCGGCCTCATCTCTCCGCTTCTCTCGCTGCGCACGGCCCTGCCCCGGCATGTGGGTTTTGTTTCTGTTTTCTCTCTCTCTTGCCTTTGCTGCTCTCTCTGCTCGCTCTGTCTCGGCCTGTACTCGCTCGGCCCCCGCTCGCCTTCTCTCGGCCTCGCGCTCCGCCTCCTGGGAGCGAGGGGGCGTCGCTCCTTTCGGGTCAGGGTTGGAGGCGCTCATGCCAGAGCGCGCCCCGTCTCCGCTCCATCGACGAATGTCTGGGCACTCACACTATCTATAGCCTTACCGGCTGGTGCCTGCCTGTAGTCCAGTCCCTCGGGCTGAGCCAGCGGTCCGCTTGCGCCGGATCTGCCGTTGCTGGGGAGGCTGCCCCCGACTCACCTACCTGGCAGCGCCAATGTACTCAACATTAATTGGAACTAACCCAACTGGGCACACAGTGTGCAAAGAAGTAAAGAGCGCGAAAATCAACCATTGGGGGAGAAAAGAGGGGAGGGAGAAGCGCAAAAATCTACCCAATGAGGTACCGATAAACGCTATATGGCGTTGGGCACACTTATAACCATTACTCAGCCATTACAAAGGGCCGATCCTGGTAACCAAAACATTTGTACGCCGCCCGTAATATTTTGAACATAAAAAATAAAAAAAAAGAACTTTCAGAAATTCAAGACTAAAAATCTATTGAAGCAAACAGCTCCTTGTGGCTCATCTTCGATAAGAAAATACATTGTGAATTGTTTATGTATGAACATTACGTTTAGAGAGGAAAAAAATTGGGAATACAACCTGGTATTGGCTGTAAGACAAAGCCATTAATTATGAACCTCCGCACAACCCTATACGTACCAATTACCAAAGATCAGAAATTATTTTGATGATAAAAATGGCTCATTATTAATTTTTTTTAGTATATGTGTTATCACTGCGAGCAGTTTAAGAATCGCGGAGAGAAGAAAATATCACGGAAAAAAGTTTCTCAATATGAAACTCTTAAGTGGGAACTTGTTTTTAACCATTTGCCCCTCCAAGTTCAGGAGTTCGCAACGCTCTGAGCAACTCGAGCCGAGACACCGTCCTACTAAAAATGATTTAAAAAAAAAAACACACACACCGCACAGCAACCCTCTAGCACTCTACAAACCAATGTCCATAAATATCAAACCCTTTTTATTTTTGCAAACGAACAGTGTCTCGCTGTTTTGCTATGCCCAGGGAATAAGATGACTCGCGATAGACGATCCAGCCCCTCGCTCACAGCATACCCCAGACCCCGGGCTCACGCGACCCTCCTGCCTCAGCCCTGTCCCGAGTAAGCGACCACAAGCATCGCTGCCAACCAGTGCCCGGGCTAGATTTTTTCTTATACTATTTTTTTATGTGGTCCAATTCAAATCTTTCTTTTCTATTTTTTAGCAAAGACGGGGTCCCCGCTCTGCCTCAGGCCCTGGCCTCCAACTCCTGACCCTCCGAGACGATCCTTCTCCTCGGCTCCCGAGTGCTTGGGTGCCAGGCGTGTCCGCACCTGTCAACCAATTCTTCTCTCAAGTCCATTGAGCCTCCCATCTGATTACCACTTTCCAACCAGAGCCGACAGCTGTCTAGAGAACCCTCAAACACGGCAGCCCTACCTGCAATGCAAAAAAAAAAAAACAAAAACAAAAAACCACACTCGCCTGCAAGCGTGTGCCGTGCAGCAGCCCTTGGCATTAAGCTACGGGCCCATGCAGAGAGGCTGTCGCATGCGTCAACGCCGATCGCTAGCAGCACCCGCCCTCCTCTGCTTCAACCATGCGTCCTGACTCCCTGAGGACTTGTCCGCTGCACGAATCCCTACTTTGTCCACCCTAATCGGCGCTCCGCCATGCGCATGCAGCCGCTTAGCAACATTACCACGAATTTTATTAATGTCTCTGGAGGGACCTTGGGCCCATAAACTCCAGTGAATTGATCCACAGAGATACCGGGGCCGCATCTCAGCAGGCAGCAGAAGCACTTCCGTGCCCCCGTATTTTGCCAGCGCCTGTTCATCTGTCCCGCTGCACGGGCAACAGGCCCCGGGTCACACGCGATCCGGGGACGAGGCTGTTGCATGCCCAAGGTCATGCGTCGTTTGGCTTCGGTGGGCTTT